ATTTGATGCAGTCAAGTTTATATTCCTCATGGGGTGAGTACCCAATTTCTGCTGGAATAATCAAATGCGTACCTTCCCTCTTCATTCTCTTTCTTTACAGTTTGATGTCAGTCTCCCTGTCCACCTTATGCTTCAGACTTCAAACTTTAAAGCTTGTCTATCTGACCAAAAAGAAATTGGTCTAATAAAAGATATTAACATCTTATGCTTGTCTTTCATCTAATTCTTTCTCTACCAAAATACCTTCATTCCTACCTCTAGTTTTCTCAGATCTCTCAGATCATTGTGCAACTTTTATTTTTTACTCCTTACAATCCAGTGCTCCATAGCAGTTTTCTACAAATTACTAAAACTAAATCATTTCTGCTTCTTAATAACTGGACTGTGTCCACTGGAATTCAATGATTCTTAAAACATTCCCATTTCTATTTACCGTCATATTCATTGTTTGTTTAGGTATTATTTCGGAAGTTCATCCCAACATTAGGGGAGAACCAGACAATCATATTATCTTCTGTTTTCCTGCTAGTTTGGATAGCTCTAAATAATGTTATAAAAACACAGAAAACAGCTGTCAATGTATGACAACAGAAATAGCACATGTCCATTCTCTCCATTTTTATTTAATGGCTGTGAAATATGCTGAATTGAGAACCCTAGAGACTGGAGTTTTCATTTACATGCAGAACATACATATCGGAGGAAGGAACGGGGAAAGCTTCCCATCGCAATTTGCCTCAACCCTGATTTGGTGGGGGGCATCTCTAGGGATGGTAAGTCAGACATGAGACCTGGTAATTCAGTTTCTGTGGTTCATTAAATCCTTGGGATTTCTGTTAAGACTTCCAATGAGAGTGTCAGAGTTTGAGGTTGTTTTCTTACATGTTCTCCAGTCCAAAGCATATGTCATATAGGCCACTGAACAATCATCATGTGGTAATGACTTTGAGTTGTCACTGAACTTGTGCAAATCCTCTAATCATTGGGTTGGGGCTACCTCAGAAACAGTCTCTCTCACCATGTATTCACACTCAGAACACAGTCCTTATACATTTACAATATATTTCAGCAGAGGGGTCAATTTTTCTTAGTGTATTGCCCATTGTCTCCATTTCTCAGTAAGTTCCTTCTTATTTGCTTTCAATGTTCTTTACATCAGCAGGCCCAGCCAAAGAGTTTGCAGGGCCTAAGGCAGTGAGTGAGCGGACAGGTGGACAGCACTGGGCCCTGAGCTGCATGGCTGTGCGGTCAGCGCAGCAAGTGAACAGCTGGGTGGGTGGGGCCGGGAGCTGGGCAGGGCGGGGCCCTGAATGTGCGGGGCTCAAGACAACTGCCCTTGCTCGCCTTGCCCAGAGGCTGGGCCTGTACATCAGATTCACATTTATCAATAACCCTCAATAGCTTCAGAGTTTGTAGAGCAAAGACAGGAGTTGCTATTCATTTATCTCCGATGGAATCTTCACAGCTGTATCCCTTCTCGTAAGTTATGGCTTCTTTGATTGCTCTGAGTTTACCACACTACCCAACAATTTATCTCATTCCACTTTGTGGTAGAAGTAATTCAACAAATGTCAAAATATATTAGTTTCCCAGTAGATTTATCTAATGTCTAAGAAGTCGCTTCTTCCATAACTCCATTTCAATTTCTCCCTTGATTCCAAAAGACTGAGTTACTAATTTTTCATCTCTATTTTCTTTATCCTCTCATCTTGTCTGTGAAAAGCATGACAGTCACACAAAATGTTTGTGTTTCTAGCAGAATTGGAAACCCAAGGGAGTTCTGCATAATTGTCTTGCAAACTCCTCAGTCCAGGTTCACTGAAAACTTTGCTACTCTTTAAATTAATCGGAGCAGTTTTCTCATTCTGCATTACAACCCTGACAAATGGCTGCAGTACAAGCTATGATGGTAGCTGGTACTTTCACTTTGGCATTTTGAGTTAGATTGAACATCAAACATACACCCTCCTAGCTTTCACTGTGAGTGTGTGTGTAAGGGTGGGTACTGTCAACCCTCATAGGTCAGAACAGCCAACTATTGTTGTCTTTTGCTCTTTATGCAACAAAGGCACCTGATCCTTCAGTGCTAAACCACCTAAAGCTGTAATTTCCAATAGAAAGTTATGCAGATCCGTACCACTTTCACCGAGTCTTGACTGTTCAGAGTAGCCTTTCACATTCTCTTATCTTAAATTCTGTATTAATATTGATGTGGTCCTACTTAGTTCTTTGGGGAGAAAATGCAGATGTCTTGTTATCTGTTCAGCTCCATGGTTTTTCAAGCCAAACCCTTTTTATTCATTAATGATCCAGGTAAATCACAACCACTGAAGTAGTTCAGTTCCAGACATTCTTCAATCTGAAGTGCCTTACCCTAAACTACCAAACTTTACATTTATTTTGAAATCGTCTTTTAGTCAACTTAAAAGGGAAGCCGAGACCTTGAAGACAAAACAAGTGAGAGAGCTGGAATCTATCTGGAAAAAATACAATGGAAATCAGTCCCAGCCTAAACATTTACCGAGTCCTTAATCCCTGTTAATGTTTTCACTAAACACAAATGAAAACCAGCCCTATGGAAAATATAGAGTATTTTCATTATTATCCTTTTTGCTGTAGCAAGTGTTTCTCTGGAAGAAAGGTGCCTGGCAAAGGCATTGAACATATGGCTTTTGTGTGTGTGTGGGGAAAGGATTGCAAACAGAGGAAATAGTTTAGCATGAGGTAAGCCACAAAAATATGCAAACATACAGGGAATCTGTTTGATATGCATGAGTCACCTACAGCAATCAGCACATATGGAGAACACACACAAGTGCATGTGGGGCAGCAGGTGGTGGCAGTGATATACTCTGTGACAGAAAGTAAGAGAAACAATCCAGTGTCAGTTCATTTTCTTTGCTGGAAGGCTTGCTCATTGAACCAGAATGTCTATTTCATTTTTAATTTCTCGGAGGAAATCGCTGCATGCAAATATCCCTCTTTTGGCACTTCGGGAGGAGTGAATGTGCTAGTGAGCTTTCTGCATACGCTAGCTAATAAAAGTCAAGTGCGATTGCACAGAATGCTTTCGATCACCGACAATGTTAACTTAGCTAGAATAATGCCACCAAAAGTTGGCTTGTGGTGATCTTTCACTCACTGTTGTTGTCTCTTCTTTGTTCTAACTTCCTGGAGATGCTAAAAATGGATGGAGAGGTGGTCACACAGTCGCATATAGTGATTATGATTAAAATATTAATTTCTACCCTCTTCTGGTATTCACCTTCCCCACAGTACTTGCAACATTCTCTATGGGAAATGGGAAATGTTACAAAAACTTCTGCAACTTAAACTACTGCATTCCATAAACATCAAGGCCAAGCATGAGTGACTATTACAGCTCTATGCCATGGGCAGGGGGTTGCATTACAACAGGATTTTCTTTAATTCCCAACATAAATTAAACCAGTTTTGAAGCTGCTTTGCAGACACATTGCACTACAATACATAGATTTTACTTCTGAGTTTGCAAAAGGACGTTGTAACAATAATTTAAAAAAAGAAAAGACAAACACTTGTCAGGGATGGCCTAGATGGTGTTTGGCCCTGTAGGGTACTGGACCTGATGACCTCTCAAAGTCCCTTCTTTTCTTATGATACTATGTTTACATTTGTGAAATAAGACATTTGACAGTGGCTTTTTATACTTCAGACACAATGCCATTTGTTTTGTAGAAAGAAGTCAAATCTGACAGGGTATATCTTGTATTTTGTATATACATATACAAATACATTATTTTTTAATTAATCACAATGCCTGAATGCAAGTTAATTTAGTTTCCATGTAAGTTCTTTAACTGATTGCAGTATCCTTTTGAGGTGTATTGTGATCACAAAAAACATTAAAGCACTCCTTTTATTATTAAAGACTTATTCATTTCTCTAGTATAGAGACACCCATTGCCTAAAGTAGTAACTTTCCAGTATGAAATGGTTACTAACCTCTTCGTAACTGTTCTCTGAGATATGCTGCTCATGTCCATTCCCACATAGGTGTGTGTGTGCTGAATGCACTGTTGCTGAAAAGTTTTTCCCTCAGTATTAGCCATCAAGTCATCTCGTGTACACTTTGGAGTCATTCTGGTTGTATGTAGGAGCCTGCTGACTTAAGATCCCCTCAGATTATTTTGTTGGCAACTCTGACAGAGGCGGAGGAAGGCTTATTTAAGAATGGACATAAGCAACACATCTCAAAGAACAGCTGCTATGGAAAGGTTAGTAGTGTTTTCTTCCTCAAGTGCTTACTTAAGTCCATTCCCATCTAGTGATTCCCAAGCAAATGTTGGAGATGGTTTCAGAGTTCAACAAGTGGACTGTATGGAAAGAAGGAACTGAAATGGTGCTAGGTTGGCAGACTTCTATATTGAGTGCCATGAAGAACTACATAGAGCTCTGGAACTTACCTGACAGATACTACTCAAAGAAAAACCTTCTGGTGACTGTGCATGAGGTGAACACACACCTATACTGGAATGGACATGAGCAAACACTTGAAGAAGAAGAATGGGCTTTGATGTCCAATACCTAATTTTACCAAATATGCAGCTAAATTGTCTACATTTTGGAAGCCAGCTTTAAGATGTGGAGCGTTTCTTCATCTAATATTAATTCTGATTTCCACAGAGTACTTTTACCATTAAGTTGTATGCTGTTTGCCAGAGCAAAATATCTAACTCTGAACTTTCCAACTACCAAGTAAATTTTAAATCATGCTAATAGCTTATCACTTACATGAACATTTTAAATTGAAACATTTTGGGATAGATCCTCACTTGTGCAGACTTCAGTGAAATCTCTGATGTTAGGTTGATTTACATAAGCTATTGAATTGACCCTGCATTTTATTTACAGACAGACAGACAGACAGACACACACACACACACAGATGTGCATATGAAAAGAGTGGATGGACAGACAGTTTTCCTCTCCTTGGCTACAAGTTTATCAGCAGTACTCACATGACTTCCTGTTTGCTCGTGACCGCTTCCTCTCTCTAGGCACCGCTCGCTGACTTGGCACTTGGGTGGCTGACTTTACAATGCGATCCATGATCTCATCAGCTGCATCATCTGTAGCATTAGGTGAATCATCACCAGCAGCATTCCATGAACTGATTCGGCCTGGAAAGAATTGGATTTTTAGTAAAAGAGTCCCCTCCCCACATCACATATATTTGTAGTTGGACCACTGCAGAATGACAACAGGAAGCTCAATGACGGCTGCTTTAAAGCTGTCAGGGTGACAACCTCTACGTTTTGTTGAAAATAGTAGATAATACCCCAGCTACTCTGCAGCATCAGAGGAGAGTGTGAACTATAAGGGAGTTCTGCACTGGCCTTAAACTCATGGCTCTGCTCTAGCCTATGCAGCTGGCAATAGTCACCCAGGGACTGTCCACCGATTGGGGACTGCTGGAATGCAGGATGCTCTCTTCACATCCCCTTTTACTCCCTACATTGGAGCCACAGTGGGTAGCACCGAAGCTGACTCTCCCACATCTGCTTCCAGGCTTGTGGCACAAAGGGGATATGGTTGAGGAAAGAACCTGTTTTTAGCCCTTTGAAAGGAAGAAATCACTTTTTCACCACACGGTTGGATAGATCCTGGCACAACTGCATGCACTCTGTTACAAGCAGAAAAGCAAAAGTACTTGCCAAAATGCTATGACTGAAAAGCTATATAAGCAATTTTGGTCGAAACCTCACGCATGTACATCCTTCTTCCCCACCCCCCGCATCTCCAGAGAGCCATGTCTCTGAACCAAAAGATCTGTGACATTATGGCCCTCCCTGCTGCAGAGAGGTCGCCATCAGGCCCATCTTTTGGTTTCTCCATTAGACATTATTATTTGCTTTTTTAAAAAATAATTGGAAGGTTAGTCAGTTGGAAGAATAATGACAATGAGCTTTCCAAAGGAGCTGGCTCAGTAAACAGCCAGCTTAAAGAAACATCAGTGATGGGACCGTCCTTCGGCACTTCACTGTTGACAGTAAAGAACAGTCTTGAGCAGCAGTATGTCCTGCTGCTTTTTTTCCTGGCTCCCGTCAACAGCACTTCTATTACGACAGGGCTCCTAAAAGGCTTCTGTCTGGCTCGGTTGACAGCTGCCTCTGTTATTCTTTAAGCCGACAGGAACTGAATCTTATTACAGGACACACTCCTCACTAGCACTTAATGAATTACGTCCACTGTTTAGCTTGCTGCAGAGCAGTGTGAGTTGTTTACTTCTTTGTATCTTAGCTACTCAGATGCTTTTCAAATGGGGAGCTTTTGGAGCCAGGCATCAAAGCTTTAATCAAATACCCAGAAAATGTTTTACTAGAAGAGCATAGTGGTACCAAAAGGAATCAGTAACTGATAAGATGTGCATACATGAGGGAAAAGAATACCATGAAGAACAAGACTTATTACCAAGATTTAATACTTTAAATTTTAGTATATGCCCTGGACCCCAGAACCATATTCTGGCCTTCAATTGAGAAACCACAGCTGTAAAAAAAATCGTGAAAGGAAAATGAGCTTATGAGCCCATTCTCCGTGCTGTGATTCAGCAACAAGAAAGAGGTTTGCTTGCTATACTTCTTATGAGTAGATATCCCAGAGGATATTTCATTGCCAAAGATGGGTGTACTACTGCACTCCTTTGTCAGATGACTGGGTCTGCACATCGCAGATCGGGACAACATTTGATTTCCCAGGATTTAATTTTCAGAACCGAACAGTGCTGACACTTGACAACTGTTGGCTTCAAATGAAGAAGAAATATCCGCTAGAGTTGCAAACACATCCACAGCTGCCTATGGAAGGTAGATGACCTGCCACCAATAAGCTCTCTCTTTACCAGCTGGTATCACAGGCCCTAATATGGCACTAAGTGACATGAATGTGTACATTCATAGACTCATAGAACGCTAAAACTGGAAGGGACCTTGAGAGGTCATTGAGTCTAGTCCCCTGCCCTTCATCTGGTACTGATTCAAGCCTGGGGAGTATTATGTTTTACCCATGGACTACTAGTGCTTCACTGTGAAATGGTTTCATGTGACTGGTCTGACTGATTTTTCATCTACAATTTCATTTTTTTTTACAACTGGTTTTACAAAAACAACACTGAGCTCGTATATATGGTGTAGACTCGGGTGTCCACTACAGTTCTATGCAGTAGGATAAATCAAATAGCAGGGAAATCTGCATACATTTATAATCTCTTTTTCTCCCTTCAATATCTTTGCTCTTCTTTCCCTTCCATGTCCCATGAGCTTCAAGCCCTTTAAGCAACAGTTTGTGGCCTCATGTGTAGGGTCACAATATTTGAACTTTCAAAAAAGAAGACTGCCTCCCCCCCGAGAGGGAGTGTATCTGTATCAGTATCTATCAACTCACGTTGTATTAATGTGTAACATATAACATGAGTTGGTAGATACTGATACAGATACGCTCCCTCTTAGGGGTATCCTCTTTTGTGAACCTTTAAGCAACAGTTTGTGGCCTCATGTGTAGGGTCACAATATTTGAACTTTCAAAAAAGAAGACTGCCTCCCCCCCGAGAGGGAGTGTATCTGTATCAGTATCTATCAACTCACGTTGTATTAATGTGTAACATATAACATGAGTTGGTAGATACTGATACAGATACGCTCCCTCTTAGGGGTATCCTCTTTTGTGAAAGTTCAAATATGGTAACCCTACAAGTCATGTGGCTATTTTCAATTTGCTTTTATTAGAAAAAATTATGCAGATTTCACTATATTTCATAATAAAAAGTGACCACGGGAATAGAGACTGTGGCTTAAAGGGGATGGTTTAAAGGGGAGCCAGGGTCATGTGGGATGGAAGGTGAGGGGAGGAGAGGTCACTTTTAAATGGTCCTTATTCCTTATTGCAACTCTCACTGTCCAAGTTATAGACTACCTGCCTGATCTTAGGCAAACCACTCAAAATGTCCATGACCCATTTGTAAAACGAGTGTGGAGTAACAAACACTGCTTTTTTTCTTTTGACTCTTTAGACCGCCAGCACCCCACTATGGCGGCATGACCTTAATATCTTCCTGTAACACACACAATAACTAATGGCAACGCCCAAAGGGAGTTGAGAAAATAAATATTCAGCATTTACCTCTGCTGGCTCTGCTTCGAGTGCGAACTCCTAGCACAGTGGGGCTTTCCCCACTGATGGAGGAAGTTTTCAACACGGCCTTCATGTTCTCATGCTCTGCTGCATCTTCAGCATACTGCAGACCCTGTGGCTGGCTCTGAGACGGAGTGGAGTTGCTGGAGAACTTTCCAGACTGCAGAAGGAAAAAGAATTCATTGTTTAATTGACACAATCTTAGTTAGAGAGCCCAGGTGGGTGAGGTAATATCTTTTATTGGACCAACTTATTTTGCTGAGAGAGAAGCTTTTGAGCCTACACAGAGCTCCTCGTTAGGTCTAGGAAAGGTACATAGTGTCACAGCTAATTATAAGATGGAACCATGAGTGCCATTTATGGGAATCTGGGGACGCAGTAGCCCCCTCCTCTGAGTTTGAACCCCTGGATTTCATACTTGATGTCTGCTTAAATCCCATGTTCTAGCTCCAAAGACAGTTCTTAAATGCAACAGAGTTTGAGCTGCTTACAGCTTTGCCTTTGGGGCAGGGAATTTGTTACAAAAGAAGGGAGGCAGGGTGATTAAGAATAACAAAAGACTGGGCATTCAAAGAACTGAAGGATTGTTAGACCATCATGAAAACATTTCTGGGTACTCCACTTAAAATATAGGGGGAAAAAGAGTAGAAATGAGTATTTTGCTGCAGGGATCTGCATTTGGACTACTGCTTTTAAACTTCTCAGAAATGTTCTTGAAAAAAGGAGTAAACAGTGACTAATCCAAGTTGACTGTGAAGAGTTTAAAGGGGTCTCACAAAACTGAGTGACTGGGCAACACAAGGGCAGATGGAATTCAGTGTTGATAATTGCAAAGTAAGGCACATGGGAAAATACAATCCTAACTATAAATACAAAAAACAATGGGTCTAAAATAGGGGGTCTACCACTCAAGAAAGAGATATTGGAATCCTTGTGGATAGTTTCCTAAAAACATCTGTTCAATATGCACTGGCAGTCTAAAAACTAAAACAGCTAACACAATAATAGGAATAATTAGGAAAGGAATAGATAATAAGACAAAATATCATACTGCCTCTATATAAAGTCACTATATGCCCACATCTTGAATACTGTATGCAGACCTGGTCACCCCATCTAGAAAAAGACATACTGGATTTGGAAAAGGTACAGAAAGGGCAACAGAAATGATCAAGGGAGTAAGGAACAGCTTCCATATCAGGAGATATTAACAAGACTGGGACTTTTTAGCTTTGAAAAGAAATGACTAAAGGGTGAGGAGATATGTCAGAGTTCTAAAAATCAGAAATGGTGTAGAAAAATGGAATAAGGAAATGTTATTCATCCCTTCACTAACATAACATAACATAACACAAAAAGCAGACCCAATTAAATTTATAGGCTGCAGATTTAAAACAAACAAAATAGGAGACAGGGGATGGACCATGATGATTGCCTCTTCTGTTTCTTCCTTCTGAAGCACCTGGCATTGGCCATTGATGGAAGACAGGACACAAAGCTAGGAGGACCATTGGTCTGACCCAGCCTGGCCATTCTGACGTTCTTATATAGAGCCGAAATGTATCTGCCCCTTGCTGTAACCCACTAGACCCCACTCCTCTTCCAGAGCTGAGATAGAGTCCAGGAGTCCTGACAGGATCTGTCTCTCTCCACAGAGTTAGTAACAATGTAAGAATATGCATGAAAATTTTAAGGCTAATCATTGTCTCTTAAGTGACTTGACACAGATGTCAGAATATGTTCATGTTAGGGCTGAGTGAGTCTAATATTTATTATTTTTTTCTTTTATATAGGTATTAGATACAGTGCTCCTGTCAACTAGGTGCTAAGTTGTCTGCCAATAAAAGTAGAGTTTTTCACTGCCTAGTATGCCCTGGGTAGAGATGATGTGTAGGGGGGAGGATGGATGGGGTGGTTCCCTCTCCTATTTGAAGGTTGGCTTGTACCGAGAACGCTCAGTAACGCTGCTGAAGCCTCTATCTTCAGTCCACGCCCCTATGTTCTCA